GGGACCCCGCCCCAGCTCCGGTGTCGTCGCCGCCTCGGCTGCCACAACCACCGTCATCTGCAGCCCTGATACCGTCCTCGGCGTCCGCCGCCGTAGGACCGCAGTACGGCAGTACCGCCGCCGCCAGGCCCTGCCTCCTCTCCAACCCCGGTCCGCCTGGAGGAGCTCGAGTCCTGGGGTCGATTTGCGGGGGAAGGGCGACACGGAGGCCCTGCAACGACGAGGCGGCGTACGCGGCCGCCGGCTGTTGCGGTAGTGATGGCGGCAGTAGCGGCTGCTGCGGTAGTGATGGCGGCAGTAGCGGCTGCTGCAGTTGTGATGGCGGCAGTAGCGGCTGCTGCGGTTGTGGTGGCGGCAGTAGCGGCTGCTGCGGTAGTGATGGCGGCAGTAGCGCTGCGGTGGCTGCAGCGCTCAGGGCTGTAGCAGCCCCAGCGGTCCCGGCAACAGTCTTGGCCGGCGGCAGGTCGTACGCCTGGTCGGGGGAGCGATCTCGCTTCTGTAAACCGCAGCACAGCACAGCAGGAGGGGAAACGGGGGTTGTAAGACGGACCACTGGCGGGTGAAGCAGATAGATATACCCGAGATATAGACGGATATAGTCCAGGAGGGTACGACAAATGCGGCATCAGGAATATATGTATATTGACCAATGATCACTTGAATGGTAGTTGTCTTTGCGAAACGAGTTACTTACCAAAGCTGCCGACTTCGAATCCCAAAGAAGGCAGAAGGCGGGAAAACACTACCTAACTTCCGAGATGAAAGGAAAATCTTAAGGAGATCAGAAAAGCAAAGGGAACCGTAGCAGTGCTTAGGTGTAGAACTAACGGCGGCGCAGAGGAAAAGGTATCGGAAAGTGTAAATCGTGAAATATTCGGGGCCCCAGCTAACACATACGCCCATGACCCGACCAACGCAGCCCACCCAACTCAGCTAGCCAGCCGACATAGCGAGAAACAAATGTGCGGTAAAATATTACCTAACAAAACAAACTGTCAAATAACTGCATTTGAAATTCTAGCAATTGTTAATCTGTCTCACTACGCTAAATCACTAGTGCAAAACTCCCTACCAACCGCAGAAGGTTCTCAAAGTACGGATTCTCCCAACCATTTACCTATATCAACGTTTTACACCCCATCCACCCTCGCACTCGCCTTTGACCGCACGCTCGTGACTGTCGCCGCCTCCGTCCTCCGTACCGCATCCCGGTACAACAAAACCGGCCCTCCAGACGACGGCCTGTCGCTCAGACCGGGCGCCAACAACGGAGCTCTTACGCTGTCACCGCGCCCATGGGGTAACGGCGCGGCCGCCGCCGCCGCCGCCGCCGCTGCGTTAATGGCCACCGTCGTCGCCGCCGTCGCCGTGCCGCTGGCTGCAGCACCACTGCTGCCCCCACCGCCGCCGCCGCCGGCAGCAGCAGCAGCAGCACCCTCCGCTACAGCATGCTGCCACGCCATGTCACGTAGCGGCTGGCGTTCCCGCTGTCGTACAGCATCCGCGGCGGCCCCGGCGGCCGCCTCCGCCAGGGATCTGCTCTCCTCGCGCACACGCGCCCAACAAGCTGAGTCTTCAAGGCGGCGAAAGATCGCATCCAGTCCGCCTTGATCCCCTAGATCTTTCCAGTACGGCAACCCCAAGGTCGTCACCGTGTCCCCCACCATCATCGCCGTCGTGTCATTCCCCGCCGCCTCCTCCACGTCCTCCACGTCACCGCCGCCGCCGCCGGCAGCTGCTGCTGCTGCTGCTCCCGTGTCCCACCTCACCCCCGCCCCCAGCGGCGCTAACTCGCGTCGAACAGCCTCTCTCCCCCACCAGGAGGAGGACCCCAACCCCCCCAGAGCATCGTTGCGAAGTCCAAAGACAGCGTCGCCGTCACCGTCGCCGTCACCGTCACCGTCACCGTCGCCGTCACCGTCGCCGTCACCGTCACCGTCGCCGTCACCGCCGCCGTCACCGTCGCAGTCACCGTCGCAGTCACCGTCGCCGTCACCGCCGCCGTCACCGTCGCAGTCACCGTCGCAGTCACCGTCGCAGTCACCGTCACCGTCGCCGTCACCGTCACCGTAACCGTCAGCACCAGCGTCACCGTCGCAGTCACCGTCACCGTCGCCGTCACCGTCACCGTCGCCGTCAGCACCAGCGTCAGCGGCTTCCGGAGGAATCTTGACGACCGTCCGTGCTCGGGCCCCGTTTTCGGCGGTCCCCCCGCTCTCCCCTCCGCCTGTGTCCCTGTTCGCCATCATCATCATCATCATCATCGTCGTCGTCGTCGTCGTCGTCGGGGCGGTAGTGTCCTTCGGGGGAGAGGAGGGAGGGTGGGAGGGACGGAGGGGGGAGGGAGTGGCGGGCTCAAAAGCGGCGCGGTTTGGATTTGTAGGGTTGGAAGCTGGACGATATACTCGGGGGGGACGATGTGGGCTGTATTCGAGAGATGTCCGTGTGTATGTATATATGTGCAGAAGTCAAGGCAGGAGGAACCCGGCGGGGTACCTTCCCCGATGAGCGCCCTCATCCGCCTCATCACTCGTGTGTGTGTCGACTTCTGGGCCCCCTATACACATACACACACACCTAAATCCCAACAAACCCCCGACCCTTTCCGTACACCTTACTGCATCTCCTCCTCCTCAGCCTTCACGTAATCCTCACTCACTCTTGTACGGAAGTGACGATTCAGGAGGTGAGAGCCAAGCCCTTCCTCCTCCTCCCCCTCCCCCCCCCTTGTGCTCTCCTCAACCCGCCAACATTCCCCCGGCTGCCGGCGGTTGTACGGCATGTCCAGCACTGGCAACGTCGAACCCTGGTGTTGCTGCCGCTGCTGCTGCTGCAGATGCTGCTGCTGCAGATGCTGCTGCTGCAGATGCTGCTGCTGCAGATGCTGCTGCTGCAGATGCTGCTGCTGCAGATGCTGCTGCTGCAGATGCTGCTGCTGCAGATGCTGCTGCTGCTGCAGATGCTGCTGCTGCAGATGCTGCTGCTGCTGCAGATGCTGCTGCTGCTGCAGATGCTGCTGCTGCTGCAGATGCTGCTGCCGCTGCTGCTGCTGCTGCTGCTGCAGATGCTGCTGCCGCTGCTGCTGCTGCTGCAGATGCAGATGCTGCTGCTGCAGATGCTGCTGCTGCTGCTGCTGCTGCAGATGCTGCTGCTGCAGATGCTGCTGTTGTTGCTGCTGCTGCTTCCAGAGCTCCTGTTGCACTTGCTCTTGTTGCTCTTGCTGCTGTTGCTCTTGCTGCTGTTGTTGTTGCTCCTGCTGTTGCTTCCAAAGCTCCTGTCGCTGCTGTTGCTGTTGCTGTTGCTGCTGCTGCTGCTGCTGCTGTTGCTTCCAGAGCTCCTGTCGCTCTCGCTGTTGTTGTTGCTGCTGTTGCTCTTGCTGCTGTTGCTCTTGCTGCTGTTGCTCTTGCTGCTGTTGCTCTTGCTGCTGCTGCTCTTGCTGCTGCTGCTCTTGCTGCTGCTGCTCTTGCTGCTGCTGCAGCAGTTGCTTCCAGAGCTCCTGTTGCTGCTGTTGCTGCAGACGCTGCAGATGCTGCAGACGCTGCAGATGCTGTTGTTGATGCTGCTGTTGCTTCCAGAGCTCCTGTTGCTCTTGCTCTTGTTGCTCTTGCTGCTGCTGCTCTTGCTGCTGCTGCTCTTGCCGCTGCTGCTGTTGCTTACAGAGCTCCTGTTGCTGCAGATGCTGCAGATGCTGCAGGTGCTGCAGGTGCTGCAGGTGCTGCAGACGCTGCAGACGCTGCAGATGCTGCAGATGCTGCAGATGCTGCAGACGCTGCAGATGCAGTTGTTCTTTCTGCTGTTGTTCTTTCTGCTGCTGCTCTTTCTGCTGCTGCTCTTGCTGCTGCTGCTCTTGCTGCTGCTGCTCTTGCTCTTGTTGCTCTTGTTGCTCTTGCTGCTGTTGCCCTTGCTGCTGTTGCTCTTGCTGCTGTTGCCCTTGCTGCTGTTGCCCTTGCTGCTGTTGCCCTTGCTGCTGTTGCCCTTGCTGCTGTTGCCCTTGCTGCTGTTGCTCTTGCTGCTGTTGCCCTTGCTGCTGTTGCCCTTGCTGCTGCGCAGGCGCCGCCGCACCAGCGGTACCGCTGGCGTCGCCGTTGGCCGTCCGCTGGCAGCTTCCGCCGCTATCCGCAACGGCACCGCCGCAGCTCGTCTTTCCCATCCTCTCCGTCACAGGGGGCGACTGCATCGTCCCCCCCACATCATGTGGGTGAGGTCTGAGTTGCTCACTTCGTAAGGCCGTCTGGGGTACGTCACCATCAAGCCCCAGCCCCGACGTCAATCGCAACGCCGGCGGAACCATCGCCGCCACCTGCGTGTTTCTCGTCTGCGCTGTCCGTCGCGGCGTCTCGCGCAAACTGTCGCGATATTCCTGCTTGATGTCGGCCACCGCCGCCGCCGCCGCCGGCGCGCCACCCCGCCTACCGCTTCCGCCAGGCGCGGCGCCGCCAGCTCCCCCCATGCCATTGGCTTGCCGCGGGTCCTTCGCCACCGCTGCCGCCGCCGGCAGGCCCCGCTGCTGCTGCTGCTGCTGCCGCGGCGGCGGCGGCGGCGCCCCTTGCAGCTGTGGCTGCTCATGCCCAGTGTTTCGATGGTCATCGCGTTGGTTTTGGTTTTGGTTTTGGTTTTGCAAAAGGATGTCCAGGTCGCGCAGCTCATTCATCGCTCGGCGGTGAGCCATCTCTTCGGGCATGCCGCGTCGGGCGTAGCAGAGCGTTCGGGACTCTTGCTCCAGCTGCCGGTTGGCGTCATCCCACAGACGACAGCTGCAGCTCAGGACAATTCAGGAGGAGAAGAACAGAAAAGATGAAATTGAAGGAAAAATCGGAAAAATCGGAAAAAGAGACGGAAGGGCCCCCTGCCCCCTGCCCCCTGCCCCCCCCAAACACCTACTTGCAAGTAGGCCGGCTGCTGCGCCCATTATGCGGAAACATCCCGCGCCCCACTTCCCCCCGGGGCCCAGCCGCGTCGGCAGCAGCCGCTTCCTCAGGCGGCTGCACCTTCTTCCACAGCGCCCCGCACTTGTAGCACCACTCGGCGCCGCACTTGCATGTGATGTGGTTGCACCCCTGCGCCATCTCCACCAGCTGACGGCACTGCGGACAGGGCTTCCAGACACGTTCACCAGAGACCCCAGCCAGCGCTGCTTCGTCGCCGCCGCCGCCGCCGCCGCCGCTGCTGCCGGCCCCCAGACGCACCTGCATCGCGCGGTACTGTTCACAGGACTTTTTGCACGTCGTTTATTTACAGACGGGAAGCCGGGGAAAAGGCGCGGGACGGGGAGGGGCGGGGAGGGGGAGGGCTTGAGCGGGGGTTGGAAAGGGACGGCATGGTGGAGAGATCGGTTCAATAATACAGGTCCAGAAGATCCAGATCGTAGAATTCCAATCGGACAAGCAGGAGAAAGGAAAAGGGGGAAGGGGAAAACACGCGGAGGAGTCACCGGGCCGGGTCCACTGCCTGTGCGACATGAAGAGAGAGAGGAGGGGGGTGGGGTGGAACACGAGGGAGAGATGCTCAACCAAAGCGACCTCCCCGCCACACACAAACCGCCAAACCGCCCCAAGGAGAAGAAAGCCACATCAGCAAGTAGCGTACTCCCCCCCCCTCCTGGCCCCCCTTCCCAACCATCTTCCCCCTCACCACTCACCACTCCGATATGCCACAACACCCGGCATCGGCCACACAGCTGCGCGCGGCAACCGGGACAACGAACCGGGGAGTTCTCCAGGTGCTCCCCCTCCTGTGGGGGGGTGGAGGGGGGGGTTGGGGGTGACGTACATACATACATACTCAGGTTAGGCACTACTGTTAAGGCACGGACCATTGCCCCCGGGAAAATCCCGGGATCGAGACCTGTCAGGGTCGAAAATCCTTCCGATGGTGGAAGGTAAGGAGCCCCTAGTCAATGGACGGTGGTGACCTGGGATAAAGTTGACTTGCGAGCTGACCAGGAATGGAGTTGGGCCGCTGTCCACCCGGCATATTCCGTTGGATGCCGGTGGTGGGTGCGGAACCTGAGCGATCGACTGAGAAGTTGGCTAGGGTGACTGGATGAGGGTGCCCCGAAATACTGGGGAAGGCAGGGTCTGCCGGGTAGCAGCCACGGGTGAAGATATGACCCCCCTGTCCCACACATCATACATACATACACACTTACGTCCAGCACCATGAGCAGGCTGCATTCGGGGTTGGGGCAGTAGAAGCGCAGGGGCTGGGGAAGACTGGACTCCACCTCCAGCTGCGAGTACGACAAAACACAAAAACGCACCGCAACACACCACCAAGAATCATGCCAGGGTACGGGACCAAACACAGAGCAGGTCTGGTTCTTCTCCGTCCCCCTCCTCCCCCTCTTCTCCCTCTTCCCCCCTCCTCCCCCCCTGGCGTCATGTGAAACCCTCTCCCCCTTTTTTGACCCGATATTTGTTGCACCCTCTACCTCTACCTCTCCCTCCCCGCGTCGCTACTTCATTCCCCTCCCTCCACCAATCCCACTCTCCGTTCTGCTTTCCCTCCCCCCGCCTCCTCCTTTTACTCCCGCTCCCTCCCTTCCTGTCCTCCTGTAAACTTCCCCGTGCTGGGGCCCCCCTCTCACCCGCCCTTCCCATGCCCCACCCACTCACCATGATCAGCTTGTTCCGGTCCTCCGCATCCTTAAGCAGCTTCAAACCCTCCGCAACACTCACCCCAGGACCGCTGTGTACGGAGGGGAGGAGGGGAAAGACGAACCACGAGCGAGTGAAGGGGGGAACGGGAGGGGAGGGGTGTAGCGATAGCAGATAGCAAGAGGGGAGCTTTATACACAACAGAGACAACAGCAACAGTAGCAGCAGCAGCAGTACCCACTATATCCCCCTCTTCTCCCACCATGCCATCCACATGCGTGTCTTCCTTCTGTCCCCAAAACCCCAACCGCCCCCTTTTAACCCCTCCTCCCTCCCTCCCCTCCTCCCCCCCCCGCCAACCTGCATCCCGGCTGCGGGCACCTCACTGGAAACGCCCTCCTCCGTGCGGCCAGCTGCACGTGGCGGGACAGACACAGCCCACAGAACCGGTGACCGCAGCCGTCTGCAGTGCAGCGGAGCCCGTGAAGGCGCCGGGGAGGGAGAGGACAACGATAACGACAGCAACAGCAATAGCAGCAGCAGCAGCTGTTGCTCCAGGGAGGACAGCAATAACGGAAAGCAATAACGGAAAGCAATAACGGCAATCAATAACGGCAATCAATAACGGCAATCAATAACGGAAAGCATTAACGGAAAGCAATAACGGAAAGCAATAACGGAAAGCAATAATGGAAAGCAATACTAACTGGGAAGTCTTTTCAAGGGAGGAAGGAGGGAAGCAAGTCTGATACTTGACGTCGAGCCACCAGGGCTCCTGCGCCCGGACGCCACCGCCACCCACCCCCTCCTCTGAGCTGAGCCAAGGTCGGAATGTTGCGGTTCGATAATATATAGCATGACGGCGCACTGCACTGCACTGCACTAGGTTCGGTCGGCGAATGACACCGTCGTTCCCTCACCAATTGTGTGGAAGGCCTGTAACGGCTCCTCTTCCAGGCAGATGCTGCAAGTGAGAGTGCGGCCGCCATCACAGTGATCCGCATGATGTGGATGCGGTGAGCCCGCGGAGGGCCCCGCTCCGAAACCACCCGCTACTACTGCCGCATCTGTCCCTGCGGCTACAGCTCCAACCGCATCCGCTGCTGCTGCTCCCGCCATCGCCCTTGCCGCCACATTCACGGCTGCTGGCCAGTCCCTTCTTAGGTACGTTTCCGCTTTCATGCCTGCTACTGCTGGTAATGATCCTGCTGCTGCGGCTGCTGCTGCGGCTGTTGCTACTGCTGTGCCCGGCCCACTCGCGGCGCCTCTGCCTTCACTCGGAGGACTTGCAGCCCCTGCTGCTGTGCTTGGCCCCGCATCCGCACCTGCACCTGCACCCGCGCCTACTCGCGCGACATCACCACCACCACCACCGCCACCACCACCAAGAGCACGAGGTTCGGCAGCACCTGCACCCAGGTCAGGCCCATCTGTTCCTGCACCCCGTGTTGCTGCCGCTGCTGCTACGTTGGTATTGATTGCCAGATTGGCAGATGTGTTATGCATTGGAATGGCTCGCTGTGGAGTGCGGCCGGGCGGACCTGTTACGCCACCCGTCGCGCGGTACTGTTCACAGGACTGTTTGCACGTCGTTTATTTACAGACGAGAAGCCGGGGAAAAGGCGGGGGAGGGAAAGGCGGGGAGGGGCGGGGAGGGGGAGGGCTTTAGCGGGGGTTGGAAAGGGATGGCATGGTGAGGAGAGCGGTTCAATAATACAGATCCAGAAGATCCAGATCGCAGAATTCCAATCGGACAAGCAGGAGAAAGGAAAGGGGGGCAGGGGAAAACACGCGGAGGAGTCACCGGGTCGGCTCCACTGCCTGTGCGACATGTGGAGAGAGAGGAGGGGGGTGGGGGGGAACACGGGGGAGAGATGCTTAACCAGGAGGGGTCTGCGGCGATGTGCATTGTGCTGGTCGTCCGAACAGGGCGACGGAGTGGCGACCTCCGGGGGGTGGGGGGTGTATAGGAGGGGGAAATGGGGGGGGAAAACCCCTAACCCTAACCCTAACCCTAACACCCCTCCCCACTCCCCCTAACCCCCATGGCAGTTTGTCGGCAGTTGTCTCTTTAAAACCTCTGAAAACCAAAGCGACCTCCCCCGCCACACACAAACCGCCAAATCCCCCCCCCAGTAGAAGAAAGCCACCGCAGCACGTAGCGTACTCCCCCCCCTCCTGGCCCCCCTCCTGGCCCCCCTTCCCAACCATCTCCCCCCTCACCACTCACCACGCCGATATGCCACAACACCCGGCATCGGCCACACAGCTGCGCGCGGCAACCGGGACAACGAACCGGGGAGTTCTCCAGGTGCTCCCCCTCCTGTGGGGGGGTGGAGGGGTTTTTGGGGGGTTACGTACATACATACATACATACATACATACATACATACATACATATGTATGGGTGTATAATGACGACCTGATCGTTAGACTGCAACCTGATTGCTACCATGGACATCGGCTGCACACGGCCGCAGGTGCCAAACTAATTGCCAACCTATTCATCTCAGAAATGGTAGGATAGAAATGGCGAACGGAATGGCTCAGAGGAAACGGCCGCGGACTACCGCGCCGAGGACACTTGGAAATGGCGGCACGAGAAAACCGACAGAGCTTCCAAACGCTGGCAGGGCAAAAGCAGCTCCAAAGCGGATTAACGCCTTTAACGTAGTAACGCTGGACGGCTACAAGTACAGCTCGGTGCTGGAGTTGGAAACCGTTGACCTCGTCGTCCATTGGCCCGCGAGGTCCGACCGGAATGACTTAATGGCTCAGATATATGGACCATTAGGAACAGCTATTCGGTCGACGCTGGGGCAGCATTTCAGCTCTGCCGAGTTCAACTGGTGGGGCGGCCCACGCATTGAGAAGCGGCTTTCATACGCAGCTGGGGCCGAGAGCAACATCGCGATGGACTTTTCCATATTGGTGCCAAAAGGTGGATTAGCGTACTTGTTCGAAGCCTACGGTGAACGCATTCGCGTGAGTGGGGTGCAACTATATGTTGCCCCCACGAGGACCCCATCGAGGTGGAGCTGCAGATCAAGAACCTGCTCAAAAAAGTCTTGCCGGTACAGTGCCGGGAGATTAAGGGAGTCCCCACCAAACTCAGCGTCCACGGGGTCGCTGAGTTCCTCGCCAGGGCCTACAGCACCAGCAATCAGCCCCGCACAGTGACGGAATTTCTGTACCTGATCCCCACGGCCATGGCCGACACCTGGCAGCTCACCCTGCCCCGTGATCACCGGGGCTTGCCATGTGAGATGCCGTATGAGTACTACGGGTGGTTGGGCGAGCAGCACCAGGTCGGCTGTTTAAAGGCCGCCACAAGCTGTCACCCAACCTCGAGGTAAACCCCTACCTTATGCCCCGCTGTCCACCACCCCGGGAGGAGCTTCGCAAGCAGCAGCGGAGGCAACGAGAGGCGGCGGGGCACCACACCCAGCAAACCCGCCCAGCAGACCCTTCACCGCCAATGCCGCCCATGGCAGCATTCAGCGGCCCCACCCGCCCGGCAACCTACCCTGGACCCCCGGGACAGGCCGTGGAGCCGCAGGTGTCAGGGTTACAGGCGGCGGCAACAGAGGGAAATGCAGCGGAGTTGGTTTACCCCCCCACCACCACCACCACCACCACCTCCGATGCCAATGCCACTTCGGGCGCCAAGGGAACACAGCAGCGGCAGAGGAATCGGAGGCAATGGTGGACCAGCTTTGCCAACTGGACCCGGTAGCAGCAGAGTCCCTCCCTCGCAGCCCAACAACAGCGGCAGCGGCGGCAGTAAACCCACTGCCCAACCTGGCGGGACCGACACGGCGGGTCCCACCGGGTCTGCAGGCTGGATGCTACAAGGAAAGAAGGGTAAGAAGACCCCCATTCCCGACCCACCCGCAGTCCCTCGGGAGGCCAGCCAGGAGACCTTGGGAACAGCGCTACACAGGGCAGCTGGCCCAGGCAAGCCGACTGCACCAACACCTTCAGCTTCGAAACCAGCCGCAACAGACATGGACTCGGAGGATGAGCATACATTGGCGGTGCCGGATCTGGCGGATGAGGAGATGGTGGCGGAACAGTCTGAGGATGATACCCCATCAGCACACCAACCGCTAGAGGCAGTAGCCAGAGTCCCAGCTCGGGAGTCTAAGCCCCGAACTGGTCAGGCCAAGCAACGCCTGCAGCACCTATCGGAGGAGGAGCGGAAGGCACGTAACCGGGCACAGACGGCCAAGGCAAACGAAGCCCGCAGAGCCTCAGCTGCAGCTAAACGGGAAGCCGCCGCGATTTCGGGGAAGTCAGCTAAACCAAAGAAGCAACAGGCGAAAAAGAAGCAGCAACAAGCGACTTCGGAGGCCCCGACTGGCAGCGACATTGAAATGCAGGAATCGGACTATGAGGATGCCACGGAGGCCCAGGTCATGGAGGTATGTGCAGTCCAGAGGAACCCCAGGAGGAGTCCCCGACTCCAACCCTTCAGCTGCAACTCCCCGCCGGGACCCAGGCCCTGGCCAGTGCCAGCCCCCCAGAAGGGGATGGCCCAACCAACCCACCCGTTCAGTAACATGAGCTGTCCAAGAGCTAACAATGGGACTCGCCAGCGGGGAGCCACTCGAGGCCATCCCCTTCGGATTGCGACGCACAATGTACAAGGCATGACGGCGAGACACAGACCCAAAGTACACGCAGCAGTCAAGCTATGGGCAGAGATGGGCCTGGATGTGGCGTGCCTCCAGGAAACCCACCACACCAATGCTCATGAACCAAGGCCGACTAGAAAATGAGCTAAACCTGGCAACGCACGCTGCACACACCCGGGGATGGAAAGTGGCGGCCTACTCCTGGTCCGACTCTCCCCACAAAGCGGGGGTTTTTATCCTTGTCCGTCGGAATTTGGCTACCAACTTGGAAAAGCCGCCTCCCACTCCCCCCCTGCGGTCAGAGGGCGGTTTACCAGCTGTGTACTACGTTGGGGAGGACACCGTATTCACATTTGCAATGTGTACGGCCCCACGGGTACCTCAGCACAAGCAACCCCGATCCGGCAGTCGCTGTTTACAGCCACACTGTCTGCCACCACCAAGCATGCAGCCGAGAACAGTGACACCATGCTGGTCTGGGCAGGTGACTTCAACTTTGTGGAAGACCCAGGGCTGGTCTCCACAGCAGGTCCAGGAGGGCGACGGGGAGATGGCGACCTTCTTCGGGCAGCAGGCCCCACCATGGTGGACAGCCACCGCCAGCTGCACCCCCACAGTTGCGACTACACCCACTTCTACAGAGCTCCCTGCGTCGGGGCCTCCCGCCTAGACCGCATCTATGTAGACCACGGCACCATGCCATACATTGCTAAGACGGAGATTGCCGTGCAAACACCGTCGGATCACAAGCCAATGGTCATGCACCTGCTGCCGTGCCGACCAGAGAGCAAGGGCCCAGGGAACCGACGAGTGCGGCTGGCCTTCACATCACACCAGGACTT